CTGAGTGTGAAAGCATCGAATACCACTCTAGGATGCTAAAGGGCCATCCATGTGAATGAGGCTCCTACAAAAGAGCCTGGCACACAGCAGGTGCTCAGCAAATGGGAACAAAAAGGGCCTGTACATCTTTTCTTGGAGGCCCCAACTCTGGGCCACACCCAACAAACTTGGACCCAGAAACTTCCCTTGAAAGCCATTTGTACCCTGGGGTGTCCATTTTGATTCCTATACAGAGGCCCAGTGGGTCAGGCCCAAGGCTGAATCTGTTCTCAGGCAAGGAGACACTCAAGAGGCTTTGTTTTTTAAATTAAGGAAGAAGGTGGAGGCTGAGCCTTGACTAATCATTGAACTTTCCATAGACAATGTCTTCCTGGTCAAGATAAACTCTCTGTCTCTGATTCACTCACCAAATCGAAGATCTAATCAACAGGGGTCAGTTAGCCTCAGATACAAAGAGCTCCTAGCAATCAAGAAGTTCATCAACTCAGCGGTGGTTCAGAAGTCGGAGAAACAGAAATGGCTTTGGAGTAAGTGAAAAAATGTACCACCACACTTACCGGAAATGCAAATTGTAACAAAGAGAACTCACTTTCCCTTACCAGATAGGCAAAGATAAAGAAGTTAGACAATACCTTGCCTTTGTCAGTTTTGAGAAGGGTCCCTCACCTCTCTGCTGCTGGAAGTCTAATGTAGTTAAACCTTTTTGAAGGACGTCTGGACAAATGCATCAACATTTTAGATAACATACCTTTGACCCAGAGTGCAAAGCTGTGTATGTAAAAAAGACAGTCATTGAAATTGCCACCTGGTTTTTAGTAGCACAAAATTGTGTTCTAACTTAAGTGCCCATCACCAGACCCCTTGTTAAGATAAATTGTGGGATAATAGTATAATCCATACAATGAAAGAGTCTGCAGTCCTGTAAAAGATTAAGGGAGCTGTGTGTAAGGATACGGAGCAATTTTCAAGATACTGAATATTGTTGCTTGGGAGGGAAGAGCACAATGTAAGTGTGTAGGCTCCCATTTGTGTCACACGAAGAGAGGATGTACATATTAACATACACATACATATATTTCTCCTTATCGTTATAAAGATCATCCCTGGAAGGCCATACAAGGCACTGGTACAAACAGTTACCTTCGCGGAGGGAAACAGAGATCTCGAATGGAGGAAGTCTCTTGGTTGATTGGTTGCAAATTACATTTTTTAGTTATTGTTTTACTTTTGATGGGGGATGGACACTGTGGAAAACGCAAGCCTCTATTCCAATTTGTCTTCCTCTCAGAGGCCATTCCTGGTCACATTAGACATTCCCAAACTGCTGTCCATGGCAAGTGCACCACTTTGTACCCCATTAAAGACGTGCGTCCCCACCCCGCGTGACAGCCCAGAGGCGGTGGCAGTGAGTTCCTTAGCCAACAGAGGGCGCCGGAGGCCCGCGCCCCGAGGCGTGTAGTGGGCGGGGTGGGCCCGGCAGGGCAGGACGAGTGCAGCCCCGCTGCAGAGGCCGCCCATTTCCGGGGGGACCTGATAGCACAGTGTGACAGGTCGCCTCGCTCTCCCCTCCAAGGCGTCCCGGGGCAGTACCTCTGGGAGCTGGTCTGCGGGCCCGAGGCCTTGTCTGAAGCCCCCATCCCACCTCGCGCTCTCCACAGCCTCCAGGAAGGAGGAGGCGAGGGCGGGCGGGAGGAGAGGCCGCTGGGGGCAATTCAATCAGAAGGGAGGGGCCAGTGCGGAACTGAGGAAGACCTCCCTCCGCCGGGCCCCCGTCCTCGGCGCAGGTGCCAGAGCAACCGGAGGCAAGTGCAATCTGGAGGCCCAGGCTAGTGTTTTGAGCGCTCGAATTCTCTGGACTGTCTACCGAACGCATCTCCAGGAGATAGGATTTACCCACCTTTTATTAAAGTTGAGGAAGCTAAGGCTCACAGAGGCTGGGTTACCTGCCCAGAGTGACCCAGGAGGAGGTAGAGCCGGTCATCAGTCATTCGCCAAGTACTTGATTGAACCTCCACCAAGTGCTGTGAAAAAAACTGCACAGGGTAATGGATAAAGAGTGGTGTTGGGGCCGGGGTGGGGTCCTACTTTGGCTAGGGTGATCGAGGAAGGTGCCCCTGAGGGTGACTTAAAGTTTGATTTGTGTTGTATCCTTCATACTAAGTGTTTTAAATTGTCTATGTGCAGTTTAAAGAGTAATAATAAAGATCTTTCTGTGCTTAAGAAACATTTTGCCAAGAGCTCTAGAAGTCCCTAGCTGACCACTCTCCAGAGTTTTGTATTGAACATTTCCTTGCTTTTCTTTATAGTTTTACTACCTCCATATTCATACCTAAGCAATATAGGATTTCGTTGGCCTGCTTTTGAACCTTATGTAACTCCAACTAACTATGTCTTTGTCTATGAACTGATTTTTTTGCTCATTACGTTTTTGAGATTTTTCCCTGCTGTTGCAGAGTTGCAGTTCATTTTTATTGCTGTATAGTATTCCATGTAGAGTTGTACCACAGTTTATTAATCCATTCTACTGTCAATAAACATCTGGATTGTTTACAGTTTTTTGCCATTAGGAACAAGAGTCTAATGCATGTTCTCTTGTTTCTTCTGCATTTAGGGCTAGGCAGCAGTTCTCAACCTTGTCTGCTCATTAAAATCTCCCAGGGAGTTTTAAAAAATGCTAATACCAGAGGCCCCACTGGACTAATGAGATCAGAACGTCTGTGTGGGTGGGCTTGGGTGTTCTGCAAGGAAACCTAATCTGTAGCCAGCGCTCAGAACCCCTTGGATGCACTTGGCCTGGAAACAGAATTTCTGGGAGGAGGAGAGTCACCTGTTGATACCAAACTTTTCCGAAGGTGGCTGTGCCCATTGACCCCCCTGCCAGCATGGGACAAAATTCCTGCTTCCCTCACATCCTCATCAACACTTGATACTGACCAAATTTTAACTTTTTGTCCTTCTGATGGGTGTGAAATGGTATCTCACTGTGGTTTTAATTTGCATTTCTCTCACTACTAATGAGGCTGAGCAGTGGAAGTTAATGCTGAAACAAAGACTGAAAGGGAGCCAGCCAGGTGAAGATCTGGGGAAAGAGAGATTTAGGGGGGAGGGAGGATGATGGAGCAGGTGCCAAGGTCCTGTTTACTGAGCACCTACTATGTGCCAGGCACTGCTCCCGAAGCTGTAGATACAGCCCTGAACAAAACACTCGGGGTCTCTACTCCTGTAGTGGGAAAGGGCTGTGATTTGGAGGAACAGAAAGAAGTGCAGGGGGTATCATTGTGCATGGGGAGGGGGCGAGTGGCTCAAGGCAAAGTCAGCAGAGGTCAGATCAGGGCAGAGGGCTGTGGCGAGGACTTTGGCTTTTACGCTGTGTGAGACAGGAACGCAGGAGGGTTTGAGCAGAGGGATATGGTCTTTTCTCTGGCAGCATGTGGAGAATCGTGACTGGAACTGAATAGACAAAGGAAAGTGGTATATTCATCACAATGACTGTGCGACTTGTCTCCCCTACCCTATCCTCACCAACTAGAACAAGGGTGCAGATGACTTTTGCTCACAGCTGTTACCCAGCACCTAGTGACCCAGACAGTCATCCCCTGCCCTCCGTCTAGGTGGTGAGTCTGGGACTTACAGGTTGTATAGTCCTTGCTTCACAGGTGGAAATAAGTTGGGCAGGACCTATGTATTTGTTTCTATGCCTCCCCCGACCACCAGGCCTGGCATGGCCCTGGAGTCAATGGGCCTACAGGAGGACTCGGGGCAAGGGTACATCTGTCCCTTCTCTGGGCGCACCCGACCTTGGATCAGGCAGTGTCCCCTGTGGAGCCCAGAGTTAGGTCCTTTAGATCCTGGATTGATGACCCCCAGACAGGTGAGGAGAACCCAAAGCCCCACCCTGTCCTACTTCTATCTCTCACCTGCCCAGACTGATCTTTCCCAACAAAACTCTAAACAGGTCCCTCCTGGGTTGAAAATCCTTCCTTGGCTCCCCAGTGCCCTAGGGGCAAAGTCTAAACTCCTCCAAGCCCTGGAGGCCCTGCAGATCTGACCCCTCCCGGCCTGCTACCCCACCCCCATCCCTGGGGAGCTGCTCTCAATGCTCTGAAGTAGTTACTGATTCTTACCTTGTGCCTTTCCCCTCGGTATTTCTTCACTTCCTCTGGGAAGTCGCCCCTGACCCCCTGTCAGGTGATCTACCTCTTGACTGTCGTTGCACCCTCTGGCCTCCCCCTATCAAAGCGCACTTCCCTTTGCGTTATAATTCTCTGCTAATTTCGTCTGCCTCCCACACGGGACGGTGAGCTACTTCGGTGGAGACCCCGAGTGTTTTGTTCAGGGCTGTATCTGCAGCTTCGGAAACAGTGCCTGCCACGTAGTGGGTGCTCAGTAAACATTTATTGTTTATTGAGTGAAAGAATGACTGCGTTTTGCTAAATGATGCCAGATTGCTTTGCAAAAAGGCTGTGGCATTTCACATTGCCAGCAGCCACATGAAGGTGTCCATTTCCTCGAATCCTCCCCGGGAATATGTATTGTCCCCCGTCAATCCCACACTCTGCGAGGCGCCAGCCGGGCCGAGGAAATTTCCGCCCGCTCCCCGAGACCGAGGCGGAGAAGGCTTCGGAATGTCAGTTGCCCAGATCCGCTGCACTCGGCGCCAGGGGGCTCCAGAAGCGGGCGACCAGGCAGCACTGAGCTGGAGGGAGCGCGGGGTCCCGCAGGTGGTCCCGTCACGCCAGAGGCGCCTTGCGCCCTATGCCCTGTCCCTAGCAAGCCCGCGTCCAGCGACGAGTGCAAAGCCCGCGGCCCAGCCTCGGAGCGGCCCCCGCCCGGCTCCCAGCGCCACGCGGCGCGAGTCTCGCCAGCCCCCAGCGCACCTGCTCGGGGCGTGTCCTCCGGTGAAGGCGCGCCTCGATTGGCGAGGAGGTGATGAAGTGGGCGTGACCACCACTTTGCCCCGCCCCGCACTGGTTGGCATACTTAAAAGGAGTTGGCGGCGCGCCTCGGCTCAGAGCGCAGTGGCAGGACCTCGCAGCTGGATTTCCCGGTGACCCCCAGTGCGACCCGGCGTCCCCGCTGCTCCAGCCACCATGCCGCGCTCTTTTCTCGTCAGGAAGTCCGCTTGCTCTCGCCGGAGGCCCAACTACAGCGAGCTGCACGACTCTTCTCCAGGTGAGGGACGGGGTGCCGGGCCCCGGGGGGTTTGGAAGAGAGGCGGAGGTTGGGTGGAGGGCACTTCCAGGGAGGAGCGGCTTGGGAACAAAACCTAAGGGCCGAAAGCGAGTTCAAGCAGTCGGCGTGAGGAAATGTGGCGCGGAGTCTGCGGAACCCGGAGCAGGTGGGTCCGGGCGGTTGGGGGAGAACCTTTAGAGGGCGGTGGTCCTGGACTAAGGGGACGTCTTAGCCGCCCAGAGGCGGGGAAGCCCCGACAGTACAGAAACTGGGGGGAGGCTTCTGTGGGAGAGACGCCGGGCCCGGGGCGGGCAGGGTCGGGAGTCCGGAGGGTTGAAAGGAGGGGGCGGGAACGATGCGTGTGGAAAGGGGCGAGGGACGGGGCCGCGGGCCGCGCCTCCTGAGCTGCGGAGACGGGGGCACTCAGGAGGAATGGCCCCCTTGCGCTGGGGTTGAAAGGGGGGATCCTTCCTGTGAATCTGAGACTGAGGTGGGCGGACCCGCCGACCTGGGTGAGGAGGGCGCCGTACGAGGGCAGGAGCCTGTCTGACCTGGTCATAATCCGTTTATTCTTCTAAGGGGTACTGAGTACCAGCCCACTCAGCCCCCGGCCCCCAGCAGGCTGACCTAACGTTGTTGACCGACCGACTGACCGACCGAATGCCTGACCCTGCTCTTATCTCTGTCTCCCCTCAGAGTTTACCTTCCAGCAGCCCTATGACCAGGCCCACCTGCTGGCGGCCATCCCGCCTCCCGAGGTCCTCAACCCCACAGCTTCACTGCCCACGCTCATCTGGGACTCCCTCCTGGCACCCCAAGCCCAGCCCGTTGGCTGGGCCTCCCTTCTGCCCCAGGAGATCCCCAAGGCTGTGGAGCTGACCTCCCTGTCGGACGAGGACAGTGGGAAAGGCTCCCAGCCCCCCAGCCCCCCGTCGCCGACTCCTTCATCCTTCTCCTCCACCTCAGCCTCTTCCCTGGAGGCTGAGGGCTATGTTGCCTTCCCAGGCTTGGGCCAATTGCCCAAGCAGCTGGCCGGGCTCTCCGTGGTCAAGGACTCCCAGTCTCGCAAGGCCTTCAACTGCAAATACTGCAACAAGGAGTATATCAGCCTGGGTGCCCTCAAGATGCACATCCGAAGCCACACGCTGCCCTGCGTCTGCAGCACCTGCGGGAAGGCCTTCTCCAGGCCCTGGCTGCTGCAGGGCCACGTCCGGACCCACACAGGTGAGGGCCCCTGCAGGCTGGCTGCCCCTCTCACTGCCCTACTGCCTTCTTCACTGGTTCTTGTGAGACTGGGCTTGTTATTTTCAGATTGTAGAAACCGAGGCCCTGTCTTTCCACTTCTCGTTCAGGAGTTCAGGGGCCTGGTGCTCTGAAATGTTTGGCGGAAACATCCATTCACTCATCTGCTAAGCAGATGGGCTAAGCAGATAACTTGACAAGTTTTTCTTCAGTCTCCGTTTCTTAGCCAAATGGGTTGGAGCTGGATATGGGAAAGGTGCAACCGACACCATGCTGTGGGGGTCAGGTGTGAAGGGGCCTACCCTGCTCCACCCACCCCCACCCTAGCTAGACAGGATGTTGTCAGACCCCCCCATATGGCTCTGAATCCTGCTTTGAGAATTTCCTCAAACCTTGGGCTGATGTTTCACCTCTCTGAACCTCAAGTTTCCTCATCTGTAAAATGAGCATAAGAACACATTGTGGAAGTTCTGTGCTGGTTAAATGAAAGAAAACATACAGAAGGACTCTGGGACTGCTTGGTATGTGACAAGCACACACAAAAAGGTAGTTGGTTTTTGTTCTGCCTTCATGCTGTGTGACCTTGGGCAAGCAGTTAACCTCTCTGAGCCTCAGGATTGATAGTATAATCATATAGTTGGCTATCAAGATTCAGTGGCTCCTTAATCACTTTGTAATTGTATTGTCATGGTTCTCAGCTCTGCTTTCCCCACCCCCAAGGCAGAGTAGATAAACTCTTAATCCTATCATGCAGACCTGGCAGCACCTTTGCTTGGTGCTTCAAAAACAATGCTAAATGTGTAGAAAATTGGGAAATGGAGCCTCTTCTACCTTTTACCTTTCTAGAAATGGGGAAAAGGTAAGCCCCTCCATCTTTCCACAACTTGAATGGTGGAGGCCCCTATGTTTGGGTCTGCTCTTTGGAGAGTGACTGTTGAGGGGAAAGGTTCAAGGGTCATGACTGTCAGCTTTGGGGTCAAGCTAGCTGGGTTGGAGACTCAGTTCTGGCATTCATTTCCTGGTCTGGTGGCTGACCTCTGAACTGTGAGGGTTAGTGGAGTGGGTTGTGAGCCTGGCATTTTGCAGGCATTATTTGTGTCATTTCTTCCACAAAGTGGCCCTGGCATCCTCCAATGCTTGCAGGCTATGGTGATCCATTCCTCTACTTGATGTCCAAATTGTGCTGATTTTAACATGTAAAGAAAGATTTAACTGCCTGGCCTCTGTGCTGGGTGCCTGCCCAGCTGAAGAGGGCTCTATTTGTGGGGAGGCAACCCTTGGGGTGCTCCCTTGGGCCCCAGCTTCTTTCCCTTCCCATCGGGACATTGTTTTAATGTAAAGGCATGGCTCAGACACAAAAGCCTGTTGAAATGCACCATCACCATCCTCATTGACTTCCACTGAGTGCCTTAATGGTGGGCCCAGGAGGAGCACTGGGGGAGCGGAGCAGGTGCATGGGGCAGTGGTGCCCAGCACCTGTTCCTGGCTGCAGCTGCTGGCCTGCAGCGTGTCAGGCCCCTTTAATCCAGGGAGTATCGCATGTACAGTGCCCCCCTTGACGGCCTTTGTCCCTGCCATCCTGGTGCCGATTTCACACTCGCCAGGAGCACCATAAAGACGTCTGGAGGGTGGGGAGTGGAGGGTGTGCCTCCCATTTGCCCACATAGACCTCCTTCCACCAAAGGCCTCCTTCCTTTCCCCCCTTTGTTCAGGTTTATGTCTGATCACGCATAACAAAGGTAACTGAGCACTTGTGTTGGGGGCACAGTACTCAGGGATTCCTTCACCTGTGTTAACACAGAAAACCTACCAACAGCCCTAGGAGGCAGGTGCCACCGTAACTCCACCTCAGAGGGGACAAAACTGAGGTACAGAGAAGTAAGTTACTTTCCCAAATCACACAACTCATAAGGCTGGAGCCAGAGTTCCCTCACCGTGGACAGAGAGCTGAGAGGCAAGTGGCTTTCTGTGCTGGACACAGGACTCCATCCCCCTTTCCAGATGAGCATACTGCAAGCCCTTAGTTCAGGGGGAGTGTGTGAAAGAAAAACCCTTGCTTGGGCCTGGGAGAATGCAGTTCTCAAACCCTTCAGGCCTGGTATGTAGAGGGTGCTCAATAATGGAAGAGCAGATTTGTCAGCCATCCCTTCCCCAGTCCTCCCCCTGTCTGCGGTGTGGCCTGTTTCCTTGTATGTCTGCCTGAGGAGACAGCCCATGAGTGACTGGTTCCACAGTCAGCCTCAGGCATCTGACTTCTGAACACCTCCCTCCCCATGCCCAGCACAGAGCCCCAGGCACCCAGTAGGCTGATGGAATTCATTCATTCCCTGCTCTTGAATTCCAGCTCTGGGATTTAACAAATGGGCCGTGGCCTAGAGGCATATCAGGCTGGGAAGGAGAGGATAAGAGAATTGCATTTTTTGGAAAAGAATATTCAGCATTACAGAACAGTACCTGGTGTGAAGTGGGAGCTTGATAAGTATTTGTTTAATGAGTTACTATTCTGACTTTTTATTTGGGAAATGCTACATACACCCCCACGCATCCCCCTCCCCTCTGAAAAAAAAAACAACCAAAACACAACATTTGTCAGTGTTTTTGGACCATGAACTCTAGCCTCTCATGGTTGGGGCAAGAATTATGAAGAGTTGGAGAACAGTGTTATCTGGTGGTGATTGATGGGCCAGGCTTTGAGTTCTTTTAAAAAAACAAACAACCCAGAAAAAAAACCCAGGCTTACTCATTGTAGAAGCACTTTCAGAGCATTTACTGTGTACCCTGGCCCTTGTGCAAGATTCTTTCCCCAACACAGCCTTAGCCATGCAGGTAGTGTGAGGGCCACATCTGGGGAGGGGTTTTAAGTAAGGCCTAAAGTAAAAGGTTTCTGTAACCTCTTGGGGGCCCCAGGTCCTGGGCTGGAGGGTTGGAATAGACCTGGGAAGGCCCCTGCCCTCATAGGATTTGGTCTGATAGTGGGACAGACAAGGAGACTTGAAATTTCCCTGAGTGTGGTCAGTGTTGTGATGGGGAAGCAACCCAGAGGAGTGGCCTAACCTGCTGCGGGGAGAGGAGGGCAGGGTGGCCTTTAAGGCTGACACTTAAGCTTTGTCCCCAAATGAAGGAAATCCAGGAGTGATTATAGGGAACATCCACCACAGTCCCCATAACTGGGAGGCAGTCTGTAGTGTTAAAAGCAAGGGCTCCAGATTCGGGCTGCTTGGTTCTTGCTGGGCGGCCCTGCCGCTCTGTGCCGTGTCACATCTTTAACCTGGGGACAAGGGTAGGAGTAAATGAGACAGGTGTGAAATGCTCACTGCCCCAGCATAAAGTGCATGAAGTACAGTGGTGAGGTGGTCCCTGCAGGCATGGAATGGTTAAGCACTTCATTCTACCTTCTCTCCATCACCAACCCTTAATGTGGGGGTGAACAGCCCCATTTTACAGAAGAGCAAATGGAGGCTCAGAGAAGCCACACGACTTGCTCAAGGTCACACAGTGGGAAGCAGCTGAGCTCCCTATCAAACCCAGGCCTTTGGACACTGGTTATGGCCTGGTCTTTCTGGGTAAGGGGATTCCTCAGGGTTGGGATTGAGCTGGGCTCCGGGCTGGGGTGGGTGGGTAGGGATTTCAGTAAATGCCAGCTGTTATCCCAAGTGCCAGCCTCACTCAGTTCGGCCCTGCTTTCTCCCCCCAGGTGAGAAGCCTTTCTCTTGCTCCCACTGCAGCCGAGCCTTCGCTGACCGCTCCAACCTGCGGGCCCACCTCCAGACCCACTCGGACGTCAAGAAGTACCAGTGTCAGACATGTTCCCGGACCTTCTCACGCATGTCCCTGCTCCACAAACACCAAGAGTCCGGCTGCTCAGGGGGCCCCCGCTGACCCTCAAGGCACCTTCTGAATCCCCCACAGTGGCCTCAGCTCCCAGAGGAAAGGCTGCGTCCACCCACTGCCACCAAACGCCCTTGTGAGCGCCCCCTTCTGGCGGCGTTGGGCCTCACAGGATCTTGAGGACCAGTTCTTGCTCTGGTGCTTACGTGGGCTGCAGAGAGGCCTTTCTGTGGACATCTCTGTGGATGGCGGATGGGAGGGTGGTTTCCAGCGGAGACCCCTTTTGGCAGCCATTGCTCCAGAGCGTTCTGGAGTTGGCCTTTCTGTGAGTTTTTGTATCCAAAGCTGTTGGATACAGCTGCTCCTAGCTTCCAGACAAAAGCCAAGAGACTGATAGGAAGCTCCCACCCCACTCAGGGGAACCCACTCCTCCCCCAAGGAACCCTCAGGAGGTGTGACTATGCAGTTATTCATCCCCAGGTGCACCCGCAGGGGCAGCACCCACAAAAGGCCGAATCTAGACCCCAAGATGCCTCCAGGCAAGGGCAGCTATTTCAGCCTCCTGTCTGTCATGGTGGCACCTGTTTCATGGGCGATTTAACAACAGTCTCAAAAGGGACTGTGAGTAATTGCCGTCATTTGTCAGGGGCCTGAGTGGGGCGCTTTGGCCCAACCAATGTGTCTCCCAGAACTATTTTCAGGGCCCAACAGGTGGGTCCAAGAGGGAAGATGTTTACATTTTTAAAGGTACACTGGTATTTATATTGCAAGCAACATTTTGTACTAAGGAAATGTTTTGTATAGTTATATGTACAGTTTATTGATACTCAATAAAGTGGTTAATTTATAGATAAGAAAAAGTCTGCTTGGTTTTATAGAGGAGTGGGTATTTTAAAGGACCTTCAGGAAGGAAAGAGGGGGCGGGGATTTGTGGAGCTCAGATATTTCTGACACAGCCTTAAATCTTGTCCTCCTAAACATCACATGGCTTTGGACTTCTAGGTTTGACTGTCAGGGACCTTGTTGGAGCCAAGGGGCTGTCTCTGAGACTGGGCCTCCTGTCTGATGTGGAGGTTGGGAGACTCCGTGGGCCGGGGAGAGGAGGGGGCGTGTGTGCAGGGTTTCCTGCACTCCACACTATACCCCTTATTTATTCTCTCTCCCACTTTGAAGCTGACCAGGCCCACAGGGTGAGAAGCTGGCTCCCTGGGTCTTATCAACTAGACAGGCTATGGGCCTTGGCCTCAGCACTGCAGGTCTTTGGGGAGGGATTACTGCCTCCCCCAGATGACGGAGTAGAGTGCAGTGAGCACTAAGGGGACAGAGGATGTCCTTCCTTCCTGTTTCCAAGAGATCTGGGCCCCACTCTGGCCTCCCTGTTGGTCCCACACCTCTGTCTGAACACTGGGTACCAAATGGCCTTTGATGCAAGGAAATTGGCTGGCTGGAGCCACGAGGGTGAGAAGCCAGGCCAAAGGGTAGGGGTCATTCAGCTTCCTGCTCCAGGACAGGACGGGAAGACGGTCAGCTTGTCCTGGGCTGGCTGTCACGATGACCTCACCTCGGGCCTCCTGGGGCAAGGAGAAAATGAGTATCCTTTTCGAGCACAAAAGATGCTGAAGGTGCCAGTTTCCTGCAGGGCGCTGAGCAGGCGGTGCAGGCGTCCCAGAGCTCTGGAGCCCCAGAGTCAGGCCGGGGGTGGGGGGAGCTTCATGTTCCAAAGGAGAGATGATTCTTTCTTCTAAACAGGAAATGGTGACCCGCAGGCCGGGAGCAGCCCTTAATGACTTGCAGCTTTCCTCCCAAAAGAAAAAAAAGTTCTCTAACAATCGCCAAATTGTAGCTGGCCTCCCTGAAGGGAAGTTAGGGAGCTGGGGGGAGGGGAGTTGGGCACCAACTTGCTGAAGGCCTACTGTGTCCCACATCCCTGGGCTGTCATTTACATCCACCCACAGTAGGTACTGACACTGATGGTGAGTAAATAAATAACTTCACACAGACTCCTGACCGACCTTGTGGAAGCCCCTAGGCAGCATTCGGAACTGGGTATAGTGGGCTCTGACCACCCTGGGAGGCAGGTGGGCCTGGCTCGGGACCCTGACTCCCAGGACTTGGAGCTAGGCCCTCCCCTTCTGGGACCCCCGATTTCTGCCTCTGTGAAATGGGGTGATGATAGTGCCTTCCACCTGGGAGCCTAAAGGGGCCTTCATTCAGTTGGTTTGGATGAGCACTGTGTGTGCCAGGCCCTGTTCTAGACCCTGGGGTCACAGCCGTGAACAAACAGGCAGTCCCCGCATTCACGGGACTTACATTCTAGCTGGGGAGACCGAAAATAAGCAATTCATTGAATAAACAAGCTGTTTTCCTACAGCGATGGCACCAAGATGAAATTAAAGAGTGTGCTAGAGAGAGATGGGGTGGGGCCCCTCTGATAAGGCAGGGTGGGCGGGAGAGCTGCAGAGGCAGGGCCCTGGGACAGCCGGCATTCCAGCTCCAGCGGAGACCTGAGGAGGAGAGAGTTCCAGTCATGGGAGGGGGCACAAGCGCATTCCGGGCTGGAAGGAGCCGGGCCCCCTCCGCTGGGAGTCCAGTGGCTGAGGGGCTTGGGGAGGGCCAGCGGGCTTGGGCCCAGATCCTGCAGAGCTGGTGCAGGTGGTGAGGAGTTCAGCTTTTAGTCCAGCCCAGAGCCACTGGGGCCTTTGCGGGAGCGGGTGGGTGATAAGGCCCAGTTTACTTTTAAAGGATTCATCTGGCTCTTGGTGGAGAATGGAGTCAGCCCAGTTGTGGGAGGAGAGGAACCAGAGCTGGGAGCCCAGCGTGAGGCCCCAGGGAGAGATGACACTGGCCTGGCCTGGGCGGTGAGGCCTTGGGGCAAAGGGGATTTAAGAAGCGCTGTGACAGTCGTGCCACGCCGCCAGCAGCAGGCACACCTGAGCACTAGCAGGTGAGGGTTATTTGGATGGATTTAAAGAAGCTCTTGGACCCGGTGGCCTGGGTGGGGTGGGAATAAAAAGAATGGGAATGGTCCCTACATTCTAATATGGAGCAGCCACCCACTTAGCCACACTGCTAAAAGAAAAACAGGGCAATGCAGAACGCGCCCCCTTTTGTGGGAAGAAGAGCAGAGGAAATGAGCCTGTGGCTCCTTGTTTGTATCTGCATACAGAAATTCTGGAAGAATTATATATAATAACTCAATAAAATAGTAACAGCAATTCTCTAAGGAGCAGGAACGGGGTGGATGGAGATGAGGGAGGGAACAGGAGACAGTTTTTTTTTTAATTTGTATTTTGAACTAATTTCAACCTGACAAAAGTTGCAAGAAAAGTACAATAAGTTGGAATCTTCCATTCAGACTCCCCAAAATGTTGACATTTTATCATACTTGCATCTTCTCTTTCTCAGCATGTATACACCCACCTATCATTTATTTTGGAATATTTGCAAGTAAGTTGTAGAATACAATGCCCCTTAAATACCACTAAATATTTAAGCATGCACGTATTTCTTAAGGACAAGAACATCCCCTCATATAACCATGGTTCAGTGATGAAATCAAGAAAATTTAGCACTGGTGCAACGCTGTTATTTAATCCATGGTCATAATCAAGTTTCTCCAGCTATCCTCCACAGCACTTTGAGGGATGGGGGTGGGGAGAGAGCCGGGATCATGTATTGCATTTACTTGTGGCTCTCCCGTCTCTTTATTCTGGGACAGCTCCTTCCATGGGCTCTTGGGATTCTGACATACTTGAAGGGTTCAAGCCAGCTATCTGGTAGAATGCCCACTAGTGTTGACTTCCCTGATGCCGCCTCATGATTAAATTTGGGTTGTGTACTTTCAGCAGGACCACAGAAGTGGCACTGCGTCTTTCTCAGGGTGAGGTATCACGCGGCACATGGGGTCAGCCTGTCCCATCACTGGTGACGTCAACTTTGACCACTTGATTAAGGTGGTGTCTGCCAGGTTTCGCCTGAGAAAAGTTCCTCTTTTTCCCCTTTTGTACTTAATCTGCATCGTGTGGGGAGACATTCCTGGACCATGTGAATATCCTGTTACTCCTCAAACTTCCACCCACGAGTTTTAGCCCTCACTGATGATTTTTGTCTAAATCAATTATTACTGTGGCGGTTGCCAAAGGGTGATTTTTTAGCTCCATCATTCCTTCTATTTTTACTGGTTGGCATTCTGTGCTAGGAAAGAACTTTCTCTCCTCTGTCTGGGTAGCCGCTCAGAGCTGTGGGGTTGGGAGGATGGGGTGGGGAGCAGCAGGCTCTGGCGGGGCCGTTAGGGCCTCCCCTGGGCTTGTCTTTAAAACGAATCCAGGAAATAAACTGGCTGTAAAGCCAATCACCATGCAAGTGTCCAGGCGGCAGATCTGGGGCCAGGGCCACCTCTGGGCACATCTGGGACCCATTAGTGACCAGGAAGCTACCCAGGGGTGTCCCTTGAGCAGAAATGGGGATACCCTGGCAAGCTAGGATCTGGGTCCTCTGTACTCCTCTTTGCTTTCAAATTGTCAATTCCACACCTTATGGGAATTTATTATTTCATTAAAAAAAAAGCAATGAAAAGATTAGATGTGAGGCTCATGTATGATCAGAACACCCTGTCCTTTACCATCCCAGTGTGATGCGTGAAGAGCTTAGTTTATGTCTTTCCAGATTAAAACAAACCAACAACAACACATGTATTTTCATGCACACATGGTGGCTCCAACCTCACTCCCAGGAAAAGCCGACACCCTTACCTCGGCCCACAGGCGCTGTGCGTTCTGGCCCCATCACCTCTGCTCATTCCCTCTTCCATCCCCCTCACTCCATCCAGCCAGGGCCCTCTGCCACCTCAGGACCTTTGCACTTGTTGGTCCTCTGCCCAGAAGATGCACGCCAGAGAGCCACGTGGCCGCTTCCCCAGCACCTCACTCCCCTTTGCATTCCAGCCCCCGCCCTCCGCTGTTTATGTTTTTCTCCATAGCACTTACCACCACCTGACAAACCATGTTTTTGACTATTCACAGTTTCTCTGTTGACTGTCTCTCTCTCCTACCAGAATGTCAACTCCAGTGAGTGGAAATGTCTGCTTTGTTCACTGTCCGGTCCCTGGTGCACCCACACAGGGGGTGCACACTCAGCAAGCTTTGATGACTGATGTACAGATGTAAGTGCGCACCTAGGAATTACAGAGTACTTTCTGTGTGCCAGGCATGGTGCTGAGCACCACACTTAGATGAACTCATTCAACTGTCAAAACCAACTCAAGGAAACCAAGACACAGAGTGGTAAGTGACTTGCCCAGGGTCACACAGCCAGTAAATGACAGAGCTGGGAATCAAACCCTGAGTTCTTTCATTACTGCTGTCATTTTGTTCTTTCTACTTTTGGAGTGGGTGTAATTAAGATTTTGAAAATTGAAGTAGAACAGAGCCTAGGTCTTCATTTACTACACTTGCCTGCCTAGCATCTCTGGCACAGAGGGGCCCATTTTGTCCTTTAACAAGTCTTCTAGAAACTCTATCAGTTCTCCAGCCAAGTAGGCAGCCGAAGGTGTGTGTAGATGTGGGGGTGGGGGCAGACAAGGAAAAGTGAGCTCAGGCCCAGGGGTACCAGGGCAGGATGCGGTATTCTGTGAGGCCCCTGCGGACGAGGAGCTCCGTGACGGTGGGCCCTCCGCCTGGCAGGGCTTCCCTCTGCCCCCTGCGCCTTGGCCCCACTCTGGATGCCTACAGCTGGGTGATGTGTAGATTCCTAAATCAGCCATAAAAAAATTACCAGGAATGGAGTGAACCTATCACAGCAGAAACTTACGCTCTCAGAGTTCTGGAGGCTGGAAGCCTGAAATCAAGG